GGCAGAGAAACGTGACAAAAGAGGAACGAAGAAGAGCTGGACATTGGGATGGTGCCGATGATAAAGCCATCTGGGTGTTAGGAGAAGAGCCGGCCACACAGTTATGAAACAAGAAAGTCTCCCATCAAGATGACATGGCAGTTTAGAGGGAAAATCACCTGTCATGTTTCTTGCGCTGATGTTTTTTTCAGACTGTCTCTGCAGCATTTCGCCTGTTTGTACTCTTTGACCTTCCTTAGTCAGCAGCCAGAGTGACTGCAGGGAAAAGGAGGGAAGCATCAAAGGGAGTGTCTACGGGTGCAACTAGTAAAGTGGGATAGTCGCTGTGGGAGTTGTTGCATCCCAAGAGGACCGCTCACTTTATCTGGCTCCCACAGCCTCCACTCTCCCAAAAATGTTCTTTACTGCACATCTCACCTGGAAGTACTGAGAAAAATTGGAATTTGGGGACGATTGGACACCGGAGTTTTTGGTTGGGACATTCACTGCATCTGGACTCAAGTTTTTGGGTGGGACCTTCCTTTTGTACTTGCAATGGATGTGTCAAGCAACCCCAAAGGTTGTCCAGAAAGTGGTACTCGGGTGGGAGACCCTCGGATGGTGGACATTAGAATGGGGGAGAGAGAGCCACCATTGAGGATGTCCCCCTTCCGTATGCTGCGTGTGCTTGACTCGTGCCGTCCACCGGGAAGCCGTATTGGTGAGTGCCATCGCTTCTATTATTGATTTACTCTCCTCTAATGGGAGGATGATTGGATGACCACAGTTCTTGGAATTCCTGATTCGTAATATGAGGCCTATATTGTATCCCATGAGGTTGAGTCTGACAGCTCTTTTTAACACATTTTTGGGTGCGGAATCCTTAACCGATGTCAGTTTTTCTTTATCACGTGAAGTTTTTTGAGCTACAGAATCCCCGTTTCCCGAAAAAGTATGAAATGAATGTGTACCTATGTAAATAAAACGCTAAGATGGAATAGTTACTAGCTTTGAAAACTTCATAATAAACAGCATAAAGCAAAATACAGCTTATAACTGTATGCCTGTGGTTACGAAAAGCCAGCACTAATCCTCTTATTTCCTTTTCTGTTAGCTTTCTGTTTGATAGTAATGACCTACTGGTAGCTTCACACTCACACTTCTCTCACCACACTCGCTGTCTCGCTTGTGACTGCACAAACAAGTTGCCAAGTAGCTTTAGATGAGTCCAATCGGAATTAGCTAATCAGTTCTTAGTAGAGCTAATCAGTGGAATTTTGCTTATTTGGTAAACTGTGGAGAGAAAAAAATGGAGCTGCTGCTGGGAAAAAATGACAGCAATTTTGGAATCAGCATGCCAATTTCTGTTTTAATCAGCATAAAAATCTAACTCACTATAATTGTCCTCCAGCGTGATCATACTTCCGATTTCTTGAAACTGATTTAACGAGATTTGTGTAATATGATGAAGCATGGTTATGGATCACTTTCTCCTGTATCTTTAACTTGAATCAGTCACCTCCAAAATATTATTCCTATGTAGGCGAAGTAGGCTGCTTCCAGACAGTGTAGCCGCAAGTTATAACTTCTTTTGAATATTTTAAAAGCTCATTTAGTTGTCAGCACAATGACTGCAGCAGCTCTATTCTTGTACAATCTAAATTTAGAGGCTATTCTGTCCGAAGCTTAAAATCACTTTCAGAAACAGAGTTTCTGAAACGGATGATTTGGTTCAAAGTATGGTGATAACAGATGCTAATGGTTTCAATGCGGTCAGTGACTCCGGATTCTACCAGGGTACCCTCGATCAACCAAGAAGCCCGCGCCGGGCGTTGTTGTTTGACATAAAGATGGTTTCATAAGAAGCCTGCACACATATTACCATAGCAGGATGTCAACAGCCTGCAGGAAGCCATTCAGACCACACACGGGCAGCCAGCAGGTTCGACTGACATTTACTTTCTGCTTCTTTCAGAGGCGAGACACGCATAATCTCTCGTGGTGCTTTGGGATGCAAGTTGTGGAATTTTCCTTCTCAATAAGATGGCTTATCTCATTGACCCACATCGCTTGACTATTTACACAAACACAACCCGACACTTCTGGATACGCGACAAAAAGCCCGTAACCCACAAAGTAATGTGATTACTAAGTATCTGGCGCTTCCCCTTTTAGTGAGTCTGTGCTCATGTGCGTGTGTGTCATTGGTCAGATATCCGGGATAAACGTCTTCTCTCTCAGGTGTCAGTTAACTTGAGTTTAATGTTTCACCACTGAGGTGGTGAGAGCTAATGCCTGATATTAATACTGGCTACTCAGCTTTCCGAAGAAATTCAATTCTGTCAGCATATCCTGCCTCATGCTTTTAGTCCATTTGAAGAAGAATACAGTACATCGATTCAACAATAATAGCAAACCGCGACAGAGTTTACAGGCGTTTGCAACAGGACTTTCGCTTGATGTGTAGCTACGAGTAGGACATGAGTTTGAGGAAAGAAATTGAATAAAAAGAAGGACGGTGTCACTCATACTTGGTGCTTTAATTATGTCCAACCATTTTTATTCATGAAAGACTTTTTGGAACGAATTGTTTTTCCTACAAACAGTGGCGCCTTGAGATATGAGTTTGATTCGTTCTGTGACCACATCATGAGTTTTTTAAAAAAAATATATCAATAACATCAACACTAAAATATTGAACTCTGAGAAAACAGACAGGAATAACATGAATACATAGAACTTAAAAATGAAACAGTTTTTGCCACTTTTTTTTGCATACGTTGCTGCACCTTCTGGTGTGCGCATCTTGGCCACCTGGAGGCAGTATAACCAAACATTACATGGTGACATCACAACAACTCTGTAAGCCAAAGTAATATCAGTAGTTATTCACCGAGGATAAAGAATATCTTTCAGTAAGTTTTGTTATCTGTGTTCATGTGCTGCTCCAACATTTGTTTTCAAACATCCATTGTTAAAAAACACTGCAGCAGTCTATGGCATTTTAAATGGTTTGTTAGCATTCACTAGGGGCTTTATGCAGTATACATGTATGCAACATCTATTCCTGACATGACCACACGGCTGAAATGGCCAGAAAGCTCCTCGGATGTCATCCCACTGCACAGCTAACCCTAACAAATCACTTGAGCTGTCTTGCCGTCAATCTGTTTTATGGCCGATATGTTGCAGACCTTATTTTCTTTTCCACATCCCTTTAACTCACCACTGACATTCTCCCTCTCATTGCCTCTTTCTCACTCTAGTCCAGGGCTGTCAAACTCATTTTAGTTCATCCCAATTTGATCTCAAGTGGCCCGGATCAGTAATTTCGTGGCCAAATAAGTTGCAAATAATGGAAATGCCAAAGTCCCCCCCACCTCCCTTTTTTTAGGGAGGGGGCGGGGTATGAAATTAATTACAATTCGGAAAAAAGTAATATTTAAGTTATGTTGCTGCAAATCTTGTTTAAAAATCACCTGAGCAATCTGAAAATCTTCAACAAAATTGAATGCAATTTTGTGTTTTGTTATTTTGTTTTGTGCAACTTACTGGTCCCATTGGAGCAATACACTGTAATAAAATTACTTGCCATGATCTATAAATCAATAGCATAAATGACCACATCCATCTGGAAATCATGTTAACTTAAACACCATACAAGCTATCGTGAGAACTTTGCAGAAACCGGATGCAGTTGTAAATTTTAAAATACAAATACACGTTGTGGCAGTGCGCTCATGGGTCATATAACTAAACCAACCTGTTTTGAAGTTAAAACTGTTGGCTGATATTTTGCAATATCCAATCCCTTCAAATATTTCTTCAGGTTGTACTGTATTCATTTTCTATATTATTCACAGTGCACAAGTGGCACAACACAGACTTAGTTTTCTCCTGAAACTTCATCATCAAATCCTGAGTAACAGCCAATTCATCCATCCATTTTCCGATCCGCTTTTTCCTCACAAGGATCGCGTGGCGTGCTGGAGCCTATCCCAGCCGTCTTCGGGCATTCAGCTGGGCACGCCCTGAACAGGTTGCCAGCCAATCGCAGGGCACACAGAGACAAAAAAACAACCACACCTAGAGACAATTTACGGTCTTCGGTTAACCTACCATGCATGTTTTTGGAATGTGGGAGGAAACCGGATTACCTGGCGAAAACCCACACAGGTACGGTGAGAACATGAAAACTCCACGCAGGAAGACCGTGACCCGCATTCGAACCCTGCACCTCTGCACTGTGAGATGGATGTGCTAACCAGTCGACCACCATGCCGCCGAACAGCCAATTTCAGAACTTTATTTACTGTAAATGGTCATCGCTGCCTCCTCCAGTGGACAAAAATAGCAAAGACAGTTCATTTTATTGAAAAATTGCAGTTATTGAGTTTAATCCCTGCGCGCCAGATTGGATTGGCTGGTGGGCCGTTTATGGCGCGCGCGCTGTACCCCTGCTCTGATCCCTGTTCGTGCATTGTTTAAAATGTTGTAAGTAGACTGTCGTGTTTACCGTGAGCTTAAACTTTGGACTTTTCAGCATCCAAAGCCCTGTATCACAAACAGACATGCACATCTGCATGTTATGTTGCACATCTCGGCACCTCTGTAGAGGTTTTAATTAACGTCACAGATCTTCAAGAGGGAGCACCCCCTCCACATTTACACACACACACACACACACACACACACACACACACACACATTTACTAATGTACTCCACTCTGGAGGAGGCAGCCCTGCCTGCTACAACGTGATTCATTAATCAGATGGATTCAGAAGGGGGCCTTGGGGCGGGTGTGGGGCAGCAGGCAAAGATGAGAAAGCTCCCATTGCATTCATGGAAATATCGATCTCTGATCTCCTCATCTCAGAAACGGAAATTTACACTCACTTGGCGAACAGTCAATACACTGACCGCAATGCACTCCATTTTCTGACAACCAGATTGCTAAAAAGCTTATGCTAAAACGACAGTTTGACTTGCACTGAAATCTTTTACATATTGCCTTTTGAAGGTATCGTCCATGAGAATGTGAAGATGGGCTCAGATGGCGAGAGCGACCAGGCTTCCGGAACATCTTCCGATGAGGTCCAGAGTCCTGTAAGAGTCCGTATGAGGAACAACCACCATCGACGCATCTCTAATGAGGTACAGGAAATCCGCTGTTATAGACGACGAGTGGACCTGGCACATGTCTGGTGAATGCCTGAAGTAGTGCAATGTAACTGCTTGCATAGAGTTAATGATTTCAGGACACTCCCCTGTTTTTGTGAGCAGTTGTAAAATACAGTGACGAAAAACTAATGTTGTGTGATTGGAGGGTAAAAGCGACAGATACTTGTAAGAGGTTGTCAAGTGAATATACTGTAGTCATTATAACCCTCTCAGATAATTATTTTTTTGAAAAACATTTCAAAATGAGACTTTTCTTGAAGGAAAACCTGGGAAAATGAAAAATATGGCTTCATTTTCAATGGCTCACCTGCTCCCACTGCTTCCATTGGGAGTCAGCGATGGGCTTCCTCTTCACGCCGGATTACATCTTGGTTGTGGGATGGACGAGTTTCAACACCAAACAGATGTGCACCCCCACTGTGTTAGTACATAGAACAGACTATTTAATGTCTGTCTGTACCAAAACCCACATTGCCATCAAACCCCAAGTGGAATCACAAAGTAGATAAGCGCCATCTGCCATCCTGCCCATCACTGCTGCCCAATGCAGTTAAATTTATTTTGATTGTGAACATACACATGCAATGACAACAATACATTTACATAAAAGGGGTGTATGTAAACCTATTTGAATAAAAATTTGCATATTTACAGATGGTTAGATGGTTGGTGGTTGGTACAGACAGCGGCAGCCCAGTGGTCGACTGGTTATAGCACGTCAGCCTCACAGTGCAGAGATGCAGGGTTCGATTCTGGCTCCAGCCTTCCTGTGTGGAGTTTGCATGTTCTCCTCGTGCCTGCGTGGGTTTTCTCCAGGTGCTCCGGTTTCCTCCCACATTCCAAAAACAAGCACGACAGATTAATGGAACACTCCAAATTGTCCCTAGCTGTGATTGTGAGTGCAAATGGTTGTTCGCCTACGTGTGCCCTGCGATTGACTGGCAACCAGTTCAGGGTGTACCCCGCCTACTGCCCGAAGTCAGCTGGGATAGGCTCCAGCATGCCCCGCTACCCTTGTGAGGAAAATGTGTCTCGAAATATTTTTAAGAATAAAGCGGGTGATCGTTGAATGTGGAGTTTGCAAATTCTCCCTCTGCTTGCCTGCTTTGTTCGGATACTCCTGTTTCCTCCACATTTGAAAAACATAGCTCCTCAGTGAAGTCCCAGTTGTCCATATATGAGTGTTTGTGTTTGTTTTCCATGAATCAAGTTCAGTTGAGCTGAGTTTGTCTATATGTGCTGGTGTCTCACCTGCAACCCTAATGAGGACCAGCAGTGTAGAGAATAGAAGCTGTGGTTGCAGTTTGCTATGGTCTGCAACAACGTAATGTTGGTTGAAAAATGTTTTACTTGGTTTTTCGTTTTTTTTTTTTTTTTTAAATCAGAGATGCAAGCAAGTTATGCGAGATTATTATTTTGGCCCTGATTCTGAATCTGCCCTGTTTTTTTTCATGAGTACATCCTGTTCATAATAATAATTTAAAAAATAAAATAATAATAACAAATTTGTAATTTACAAATTAAAAGATTGTTTCAGCAACAGCTGGAATGTTTTTCTTAAACGTCATAGATAGCTATGACACACATTACAACACATGGTAAAATCCGTATTGCGTAAGTTTTATAGGTCGAACTGAAAAACAAAAAATGAATATGTCAGAAACTTGGAAAAAAATACATTTTTGAAATTTGCATCAACAATACATTCAGGGACACATAAAGCCATCTCTGATTACAATTTGCAGTTGACCAATATAATGTGAGATGTTTCTGTCTTGCCTAAACAAAGTTGACAGGATAGAATTGGATCAAATGTATTAATTAAAATGAGGAATTAAGATTTGGGATTAACTAATGGGTCAAAGCCCAACCCTTGATTGAAGAGACGTTTTATGTAGAGGCATTTTTTTTTATGTGGGCCTTGTGTTTGGATTTGGGTTATTATTGAGTATATGATGCCATGTTTTAGGCACACACAGTGCAACAACATAACACATACAGGATTTTTTTTCTTGATCATGCTGAGCCATCTCAGCTGTATGTGAAAGTATACCTGTTGACTGTAGCCATAATTAGGCGCCTTGCTTTGCCATTTCTCTGTTTGTGCTAACGTCGCGTGGTCAGACCATGCGTCTCGGTGTGCCTGTGAAAAGAAGCTGGAGAGTGATGAGCCCAGCAGTGTTGTGGGAAATGCCTCTGGACGCACATGCCACTGCTGCCTTGCCTTCTGTGAACAGTGGAAAAGACTAATTTAGACCATGTTTACCAGAGAGAGCAAAAGGAGGAGGGCTGCAGCGAGGGAGAAAAAAAACAAAACGCTGAGGGCAGGAAATAGTTAGGAAAATAGGAATGAATAGTGAACTAACAATGAGGACAAAGGCAGATCGCCATGCGAAGCAGTTGACCCAAAGAACCATGGGACGCAAAGGGATAAGGCGAGATGAGGGCCAAGATGGCAAGAAGAGACGAAGAAAAACAATGTCCGCTCTCACTTCGCCCCTTCCATTCCCCCATCCCCCAATGTGCCTTCCTCCTCTCAGGAATCTGTCCATTCCTCTCTCCTCTCCTCCTACTGGCTCCCTCCCTTGCCTCCTCTTTTTGTCCTGACCACCCCCACCCTCCTCCCCACCCTCTCTCTCGCTGAGCATGTGGAGGGCACAGCGGTCTCGCTCACTCTGTGCGTGCAGTCATGTGGCAGCAGCGAGATGTGCAAGGGGCAACGCGCGCGTGTGTGAGTGCATTATAGAAAGACACGTTTAAGGAGGACAATGAGGGAGCTACTGGAGCTGTTCTGCATCGTGAGTATGGGGGCAAGCATGATCACGCGGGGATCTTTCATCACTCACTAGCAGTGACTAAAAGGGGCATGAGCGCTGTTCTTTGTGAGCCAGTGTCCATTTTTACTCTTCTTGGGAGAATGCGTGGCTTTATTTGCTGCAATTCAAAGCACTATGTGTGTATTTCAAGGGTATTTCCGCGGAGGCTTATATCTCAGTCATGTGTTTGTTGTGTTTACGCTTCGTGTTTTGCCTCTTTTAAACTGTGAATGACTCAGGTCAAAGCCTTTCAGCGGATGCGTTTATGGCTCATTTGTTCCTTCTGCGTTCGGGTTTAGTCTGCAGAAGATTGCCTGATGTTGTCGCAGCATGGGAGTACGTTTGCTAATGTGGTGGTTGTGCCCTGCTTGTAATTATGATAGCCAGTAAGCAAAAGCGACAAACCCCTTTGCGCTTTCATCTTCCTGCACACACATAGACAACAACTGTGGGACTATGCCACCCAGCCAGCCCTGCTGCCATGGAAACAACGTGTGATCAGCACCTAACCAGTTCACACATCCTACATGTATACCACATAGGAGTTGTACATAGTGGAAAACTGGTTTCAGGCAGAATTGCCAAGATTTTCGTTTCCAAGTTGATTCACTTCTTTGGTTAAAATATTCTCCAGAGATATGCTCTAGAACGGCATATGTAAACACAAGGCAAAGAAACATTTCAGGTATAGCTGAGCCACTTGAATGCTCATTCAGAATAGTTCATCCAAAATGATCACATTTGGTAATCAGATTTTAAAACAACAGAAGCCTGTTTCACTTAGAAGAAGAAAAAAAGTGATGGTGAGAGGAAACCCACAAAGAGACCAGACAGATGTGTTCCAGATGACGTCTGGAACTTTGTCACTCCGCCAGAAGCGTAGTTGGAAAATTGATCTCAAACTTTTATGACGACGCATGAATGCCATTCACATTCGTAATGATGATGGTATCTGTGGCACTGATTTTGTTGAACTGACGCAAATCGAGGGTGAACACTAGATATATTTTTTGTATCAATTCGAGATAATGAAATAGATCAAAGGGATCTGAAATTGTAGAAAGCCTCCAACAACCAGAATGCACTGGGCCTGGAGCCTTCCAAGGCCGCTTTGAGGCCACTCTACTCAGCTGTCGCTTTCACTTCGCTGGCTTTGATGACAACATTAGCGAGCAGTAAGGCACCCCAGCCAAATGCGTGCTTGCAAACAATGCCAACATACAATGCGTGTTGATGTGAATTATCAACAGTATGACATTATTTGGAGGCAGCGTGGAGACAAGTTTTCCGGTATATACTATCCTGAAATGGTTATGCATTTTCTCTTTTCTAAATGTCATAATTTGTCTTGTACGATGGTGCCGTAATATACAAGTGACTTCAATGTTTTTCGAGATGCGAGTCGTCATTCGGTCATTTGTTTTGCTTTGACTTGCCAACGCAGTGCTGTCAATGTTGTTTATTTTAAACAATCATGTAGTTTGGTCTTAAGAAAGTCTGTTTAGCTCAATGGTAACAAACAATTAAATCACCATTGAGAGGATAACAAATGGCATAGTTGTTGCCCTTTAAGTAATGGATATTGAACACAAATGGTGGAGCAACACATCCAGTATACCAGTGGTGATTGCTCTGAGACCGCAATTGAACCTCAGCTTCCCCTAACAGCCACGCCCCCTGAACGAGGAAAAAAATGTGGTGAAATGACTAAATATGCGCTAGAATACCTTTTGTTCAGAATCAGCTACTTATCACAGGTAACTGACCCAACTTAAGTCTTGTCCACGCCCATGGCTCTTATACACAGTCGCACGCTGAGCATCTACTGCTTCGAAGAGTGGGTTGTTGCACTGCACGGCTGTACAGTCATTAGATAAATGCTGGGCTTTATTCCGCTCATCGGACTCTCATCATCTCTGGGGTTCTATGGGGCAGTGGACTGGCCCGGATGCTCTGATTCTTGCATGATGATTAGATGATCTGTCTGAGGTGGAGCCTAACTACCCCTCATTTGAATGACCAGCAGCTGCCACTGGTATATACATCAAATACAACATTACTCACAGGTATACTGTATATTCTTCGTCCTTCATGATTAAATGGCTACGATTACTGCATCTTACTGAGTTAGTTGTTAAACCAAGATGGCCAATGTGCACACATCAAAATGAATCAAACACGTGTCAGAGACTATCTATGGGAAAATGAAGATTCGTGAAGCACTTGTGTTATTTTTTTACTCCTCCCGATGGTGCTTTTGCTTTAAAAATAAAGGCTTGTGCAATTGAAATGTTTACATTTCGACTGCATCTTTAAACCAAAAGTTCTATCTCTTGGAGTTAAGAAGTATCACAAGTGCTTCATGAAACTTTATTTGGCCATCACTATCAAAAGCTAGGTCATTCTTTACATACTATTGAATTCAGGGACTTGCAGGCAGGGGAGGCAGAGTTTTTCCTTCACCTACAAAAAAACTGTCATGTAATAATGTCAATAATTTCATCACTAAAACCACTGAATTTGCACACGTTCTGTCCCAACACATGCGCGAGAATTGAAGAGAGCCTGCTTGAAGTATTGTGCCGGAAGTGCCTTTAGCGACTACTCACGCATTCATTGAGGTAGTTACTGGAACATGCTATTTCTTTTCATATTACGAATATACAGTACATGTTTTATCATACTTGTACTGCACATGCTGACATTCAACGGTGTGTCTAAGATATTTAATGAATGTGTGTGACGTATTTAGTCTTTCTGATTGGCCAGAAAAGTGAGTAAAAGTGCATAGTGGAGCCCAGAAAGTACAGTGTCGCTGCCAGCAGGTGGCAGTGCTTCGCTCCATTGGCACAATGCGTAGAAAAAGTGTGACGCTCGTCACACAGCGATATATAACCACTAGAGGATGCCTTATGTGGTTGCGGACCCGTAGACCAAGCCGGCCAACCTCTTCATAATGTAACTCGCTGAATTCTTTCCAGATTGACATGCATTGGTTTGTTAGAAACGTCAGTCATGCAGTTATGATGCAGACACCTCGGGCGTTCATAACATTAAATGTAAAGGTATGACCAATTGATATCAGGAGGAAAAAAACTGACTGAACTTGACTTTAACTATTCTTTTGTTTTTCTTGCTATCACATTGTTGAACAGTGTGGAACTGATTGAAGAATATGTAAAATGCATCAATTAAGGTCAGATGCGAAAAATATTCTCTTTTTAGTTCATGTATGACTCCAAAGGAGTCAGTGCCCCTCCAGTCATGAATGTCACCGCATGTCACGGATTTAATTATGTCAATACTGATGAGCGCTATCGTTATTAAAAACACTTTCCAAACAGGTTGGTTCTTTTTGGGGGATCCTGCAACCAATAAATGACATTTCCATTCATTTCATGCTTGTGGAGGCTCTCAGTCGTACAGGAAAGTTCTATCGTAGAAAGGGTTCCGTCAGTCGTCATCTTTACTTGTGGGTAAAAAACAAAAAACAAAAAAGGACGTTTCGCTTCACTCACAGAAGCTTCGTCAGCGGTAGACAACTCTGAAGTCTCCGTGAAGACTCCGGGAAATTGCTCTGCGCTAAAAGGCTGAGCATGGACTATTTGAGGACTGGGTGGGGATGGTTAGTCACGCCCCTATGGTGAAGAGGCCCATTGATTTCTAAATTCCCTATCGTTGGGTCTTGATTAGGCCTATTGTTTGGGCTAGGGCTGAATAGCTACTTTCAGTTAGCCTGATCAGCATGTCTATGTCCCTTGTTGGTCAACAAGTTATTGTAAATAGGAGACAGGTTAAATCTGATACCCCCTTCACGGTTCAGAGAGGGTGAAAATTTTTTAACAAAAATCGCTTCCTTTACTCCCCTTTCAAACCATCTCTTTTCTGTTCCTATGATTTTTACTTGTTCATCTTCAATTGTGTGGTTTGTTTCTTTTAAGTGTGCGTATACTGCACTTTTGTTATCATTGTTTTTCCATTTGTGTTGATAAAGTCTTTTCTTGAGTGTTTGTTTGGTTTCTCTGATGTAATGTTCCTTGCACTCACTTTCTTGGCAATGGATGGAATAAATCAGATTGCATTTTTGGGTGTTGGGAACCTGGTCTTTGGGGTGTACTAGTTTACACAAGTAGTACAAACACTCAAGAAAAGACTTTATCAACACAAATGGAAAAACAATGATAACAAAAGTGCAGTATACACACTTAAAAGAAACAAACTACACAATTGAAGATGAACAAGTAAAAATCCTAGGAACAGAAAAGAGATGATTTGAAAGGGGAGTAAAGGAAGCGATTTTTGTTAAAAAATTTTCACCCTCTCTGAACCGTGAAGGGGGTATCAGATTTAACCTGTCTCCTATTTACAATAACTTGTTGACCACCAAGGGACATAGACATGCTGATCAGGCTAACTGAAAGTAGCTATTCAGCCCTAGCCCAAACAATAGGCCTAATCAAGACCCAACGATAGGGAATTTAGAAATCAATGGGCCTCTTCACCATAGGGGCGTGACTAACCATCCCCACCCAGTCCTCAAATAGGCCATGCTCAGCCTTTTAGCGCAGAGCAATTTCCCGCAGTCTTCACGGAGACTTCAGAGTTGTCTACCGCTGACGAAGCTTCTGTGAGAGAAGCGAAACGTCCTTTTTTGTTTTTTGGTTTTTACCCACAAGTACAGATGACGACTGACGGAACCCTTTCTACATTCATTTCATGGAGAAAGATAATTCGCAATAAATAGGCTTTCAGCGCGGTCACAGGCTTTCATACAATGGTTAAATTGTTGTTGATTTTGCTCCAAAACAGATGGATGGACAACATTCCATCTTATTTTTTCAAAGAGCTGCTGTTTTATGGCAGCCTTAACCCTAACAAGCCATAAACACAGAAGTCACAAACAACTTAAAATATTTTGTTTACTGCTACACTCACAAAATGCTGTCTGTCTTGTCTTCTCTCTGTGTTTCAGGACATAAACAAACGTCTGTCTCTCCCAGCTGATATCAGGCTACCGGAGGGCTACTTAGAGAAGTTTGCCATGAACAGCCCGCCCTTTGACAAGCCCATGAGCCGCAGGCTACGACGCGCTTCATTGGTCAGTGTGAGCGTGTGTATGTGTGCATGCGCTTGCGTCTGTACGTGCGTGTGCCAAGCAGCTGCATATTATTTGGGTCTGCTGTGGATGTCTGCTCAGGCGCATCCGTGACCAAATGTTGATTGATTTACTTTTCATATCAGGCTCTGTGTACGACTGAAATGGCTGATCCACTGCAAATACACTGAACATACACTCAATTTAAATGGCCGCGGAGTTATGGATTACAGTTAACAATGGCTCAGTAGGGAATGAATGAGTGTTACGTATCCATGGCCAAGAGCATTATGGGTAAGAATGGGGAGGAAGTGGGTTGGGGAGGAGGTGTTTGCTTTGCAGAGACAGAGAGGTGGAGGATGGGGAAAGATTGGAAAATATTCATGAATATGCAGAACTGTCTCTTTATGCCTCATTGTGCAGCTACTGAATTAATGCTGCTCTTTCACGCTCTCTTTTTTTTGTCACTGTTGGAGACACAGTCCTTCCTTCCATTCATTCACATTTGAGTGGAATCTTCTCTCCGCTCATCGTCCTGATTTACATTTTACACAACACATTTTATCAACAGCCTTTATATTCTCTGACAAAGTAAAAAGGTTTGGTGCTGCCTCATCCATTCTGCCGTCATTGTCAAGTCCAGCGGCTTGTCGACGGCTCCCTCCTTGAAGCTCTTTACTGACACAGCTATTTTGCTGGAGCCTCACTGAGATGAAAGGAAAGGATCTTTGAAGGGAATTTTGCAAGGAAGCCAAGAGGTTTACCGTGGATAAGAAGAAGGTGGCTCGCTGATGCACCTACGAGACATTTAACAGCGTCAAAGACATGCGTTCTTGAACGACTTTGACTTATTTCAGGCTGCTGTTTATACGCGATGTACTGGAGGATCAATTATTCAGCGCAGGATGAAACACCAGGACGCCTTCAAGGGAGGAAGGACGATAGATGCAAAGATGCAGAGAGGGATGAAAGCAGACTTCATTAAAGGCAGAGTTTGCAGTGTGCTAGCAAGATTCGAATTTAAGCTCACCTCACAAATGCCCCCGACATTGGTAGCATGACTTATTCGTAAGGGAGTGTTATTAAAAACACTGAATGTTTGAAAAATTAATTATTGAAATGTGGACTCAATTAAAAAAAAACACAAAGCGGTGATAAACTTCACTGTCGTCGAAAGCTTGCTAATTCTGTACAATATGAAACGGGGATGAGTCTTACGATAAAACAAAACATAACATGATTAGATTAACATAAGAGCAAAAATGCGCTCACAAAAAACAAAGAAACCAAGGCGCTAAATACAAGCAATCCGACAAGACAACGAGGCACACCTGGACAAGACACGGGTGGGAACTAAGAGGCTGACAAAAACCAGTGGAAATAAAAACCTAATGAGCAGACAAGAAAAATGAAAAAATTAAACCAACCAAATCTTATCAAAACAAAGTCCGCAAAAGCACAAATGATAACACACTGGCATTCCTTTCTTCAGAGGCAGAATTTATTTTATACAGCTCATACGGATCACATTAAAAATGAGTTAGTGTGCTTGCCTAGTCACATTTGTGATCGGTAAATGTAAGCCAAGAAATGGCAAGCACACAAATGGTAATGGCCCATGGACTTTTGAGTGTGCTTGTCCTTTGTGACCAAAACCAGCAGCATGTGTCAGGTGTCACGTAACATGTGTGTCTGTTTTGAAACCGTCATCGGATCTCTCTTCACTGTACCGGTAATTCAAGCAAAGGTGGTTGCTATCAGATTTCTTGGATGCTTGTTGCCTTTCATAATCAATTATACACAATAGTCTGGTGAAGAATGTGAGCAAGACTGGTCCAGAAAGGACGGTGTCGATTGCTTTTATTTATTTGTTTCTTTATTATCTCAAACCACATCGCTGATAACCTCTCACAGCCCATTTTTTTTTTCAATGTAAGTGCGCCACCCATCTTATAATCACCTCTTTTCTTGGCAAGTACTGTTCATCTAAAACTCTCATTCCCCATTGCACTTCATCAGCTGCACATAGAAAAGGGCTATTTACTGCATAAATGAAGGCAGAGTGTGGGAATGGGCTTTCTTCCCGGCACACGCTACATTTCATTGTTTCGCTTGGTTTTATGTTGCTTCTGTTTTGCTAAAATGTGCTGAGCCCCCACCAGAGCATTGGAGGTGAAATGAACTTGTCAGACGCACACGCATACCCGCACAAATAGATGTGCACTGAAATACAATAAATGGTAATGAATGTACTTGAGATTGGAGAACAGCCCGCATCGGCTCGGGTTGGATGAGCCGCAGCAGACAGAAATGGACAAGCAGCAGGATGTTGCTTCCTACTGTGTGCCGCAGCTGGAGTAGGCCTGCGTTGGCAGTAATGTACGGTATACATACACATGTGAAGTTGTCTTACAGACCCACCTTTGATGAGGTCATATTCCTATATTTTTATTGAGAGTTGTGTCAGTTTTGGAGGATCCAAGTGATAAAAACTTGCCTGAAATATCCTTGACAGAGACTGACAGATGAGGGGACGTGACAGTGAGTGGGATAAACACTGGCAGGCCCGTGGGTATCACAGCATGACATAGCTGCAGCCGTCTATTATTCATGACCTCCAAACCAGAGGACATGCATTATACTGTCATGTCTCTATTATCTTCATTTGGACGTAATGAATTCATCCATTTCCTTATACTGATAAATGCTATGTACTGTATTACTGTTGCATTTGGATGCTCTACTCTTTGACCAGTTTTTCAAGGCCTATGTTTACAATTAGAAAATTGCGTTTTAGCAGAACACACTTAACAAATGCACTTAATCATTCATCCTTTTAATGCAATCAAATATCCCTTGCTTGAAAGGTTATTACACCGGGACTATCAACGCTATGGTTTTGGCACGGTTCCGCATTTCCAAACAGAAGCTTGATGTCAGGCGCCCCAAAAGCTTAAACGTGTACGAGTAGATGAGACGCATGCTCTAGGTCAGCTGCTTATGGGGCAAGAATATTTGAGTTGCCTCAGGCGCTGCCAACCAACAGTGCAGCATTGGCTGTTTGTATTTGTGTCTTGAAATGTGTCAGTTTACGTTCAGGTTGAAGAGGCCATTAACACACTGAGAGTGTTGGAGAAATCGAGATGATGCTGCAGCACAGACACACAACACAAGCAGCATAGCTGTTGGAGCAATGCTAGTCTGCTTCCTTGCTACTGTCAGGGAGGTCTTGAGCAAGGCATCAAATGAGTTCCAAATTGTATCATAAATTTAAAAAAAAAATTTCCACCACACTAACAATGTCGAAGACAACGTTTGTGTTTTTTGGCCGTCTGGGTCCATGACTGCAGGATTTACAGGAAATACACCTGCCTCAACTTAAACACTGAAATGTATCTCATAGAAATGACAGAATTTGCTAAGGGCAATTTAATCTTCCACAATTTTCAGGCGTTCCAAAACAGACAGTCTGTAGTGATCACGGTAAGATTACATGTATTCATTTTCCTAAATGTCTTCTCTTTTAGTCTGAAATCGGCTTTGGGAAACTTGAGACCTACATCAAACTGGACAAATTAGGGGAGGTGAGATGAGCCAGTTGCCCAAAATTGAGCCGTGTGAATATCAATATTCCTTCTTGATATTGAGCGTACTTTTGACTATTTTGCCAGGGAACATATGCTACAGTTTTTAAGGGGCGAAGCAAACTAACAGACAACTTAGTGGCTCTGAAAGAGATCCGACTGGAGCATGAAGAGGGTGCACCTTGCACAGCCATCAGAGAAGGTTTGACACCGCCGCCAGCCGCTTTGCTTTTTCAGCTGAGTTTGTTATCTGGGTTTGACTGACGCTCTCTTTGTCTCCTCCGTACAGTGTCTCTTCTGAAAGACTTGAAGCACGCCAATATTGTCACTCTCCATGACATTATCCACACTGACAAGTGCCTGACACTCGTGTTTGAGTATCTGGTGAGAGTGTGTGCATGTGTGTATGCACTGCACTTGTAGCGTCCTATTACTGTTATGTGTTTTAAAAATCCAAATGTCAACACTGCATTCTCTCATTCTCTCATCAGGAAAAAGATCTGAAGCAGTACATGGACGACTGTGGGAGCATAATGAGTGTACACAATGTCAAGGTATATTATTTGGTTGGTCAGCACTAAGAATTCTGCTGCTACTGAATAGGATTATATTGCTACTGTCTCCTCTCCAGATTTTCTTATTCCAACTGTTGAGAGGCCTGGCGTACTGTCATCGAAGGAAGGTTCTACACCGGGACCTTAAACCCCAAAACCTCCTCATCAATGAGAAAGGAGAGCTGAAACTTGCAGACTTTGGTACAGTCCTGCTTTACTAGCATATCAGTGTTAGAAAATCCTCTAATAAGACTTGAATATACTCTGTACGGTAAACCCTTGCTATATGCTGGGGAGAAAGAGCCCGAGTAATTGACGCCTCCTAGAAATGCTTATAATTGCCTCATATTAATAGTTGTGGAAATATACCACAAACCTTCATCAGAGAACATACTCTAGTATCGTTCAAGTATCAACTAGCATCGTTGCAAACTGTAAATAGGCTACCGTAGTCCAATATATGCAGCAAAGAGCAAGTTTTCCTTGGGTAACAACTATCATTTTTAATGCAAACAGTCATACTCCCACAATTTTTTCCTTTTTTTTTTTTTTATAAATAGTGCATTGTTGTACAGCCGGAATATACTGTACTGAAACCCACACTAATGCTCCTAAAAGCCATTGACCCAATATGGCAATCTTGTTGAGAAACAGTTTACTCAGTTCTGCCTTCTGGTGGCAAAAATCCATTATGACATATTCTCCAACACTTGAGTAAAATTCTCCCTTTTCCATACCATTTAACCTGTTCAGAATCCTAAGGGACTCTAGCCCAACTGACTGATGGAGGCAGGAAACACCATGGAATTATTACATCAATCACAAAACATTTACTACGACACCAGCAGCCTAGAGTGTTTAAGTCACCTAACATACACAATTGCACAATCTATTTAGAGTATGTCAAAATATGAATGAAATGAAAATTGTCTTGTTCAGAGTCAACTAAGTCAAATTGCCATTATTTTGTGCTCCTCTCCCCCTCTTTAATTAAGGTTTGGCCCGTGCCAAGTCTGTCCCCACAAAGACCTACTCAAACGAAGTAGTGACATTATGGTACCGACCTCCAGATGTGCTTCTAGGCTCCACTGAATACTCTACGCCCATAGACATGTGGTGAGCACGCACGCGCACACACACACACACACACACACACACACACACACACACACACACACACACACACACACACACACACAGACTGTAATTCATATTTATGTAAATCTAACGTTTATGGCATCCACATCCCCAATGGAAAAGATGAGAGCAGACTTTTTCAAGAGGTTGTCTCATTCTGTTTGCTACTTTCTTATTTTGCAACTGAAAGAAGGGGGGGGGCCGAGATCACACTGGACATCATTTTGGCACCCAAGGGGGACCGGGATAAATTGACGCCATCAATCAAGTGTGTTATACTCAATGTGACCTACTCAAAAGTCAAATGCACAATGATATGATTTGAAAACAATGGGCACTATGTAGGACAAAAGCAAAACTGAAAAGCGGTAATAAGCAGGTCCAAAAGTCATGAGTGGAGGAAGTTGTGTTATGCGATAGAAGATTCTCTACTAGAGACACAGGAGCTGGAGGTGGCGGTGTTGTATATGTTGAGGTTAGCTTTCTGAATGACCTGACTGTTTAGAAATGAGCTCATCGGAGGGAAAGCCGGGATGGTTAGGAGACAAAGTTAGAGAGTGCATGGACACACTCAGAGGAGAGACAGCAAGTATATTGGCAGATATGATGAGGATGGAGGTGACAGGCAAGAGAGCTCAAGAAGCTTGATAGATGTAGTGAGGGAAGGCATGAGGGCAGTTGGTGTTAGAGCAGACAATGCAGAAGATGCACTATGGTGGGAAGCCAGTGTGAATTAAATGTATTCAAATTAGAGCTCGGACACCCAATTCGCTAATCGCGTTGATGACAAGCAAAAGACTTTGCCCTTCAATTTGAAACTTCTGCTTATAACTACAGATGGTTTTTTTTTCTTTTTAGTTTAAAATGACTTACCTTAACTAGAATCCCGAGTCACATCGTGGCCAAAGGTGGCACCCTGGTTGGTTAATGTGCCTTTGGTGGTGTAAATAGTAAATCCTTGTTGTGGCTGAAGCCGCATGCTCAGCTAGCAAGACGTGACCCAAGTATGACGACTTCTTCCACTTTTTTTTGGTGGTTGGCAAATAGTTTTGGTACATTACCGCCACCTTTGTTTAGCATGTAACAGTCACATGCTCCTTTAGCATGTGACTTATACTCCAGAGTGACTTATGTTTTTTTCTTTTTCACGATGTATTTTTCGACTGGTACGACAATGTCAGAGATTTTCTCAGATAAAGTTAAAGAAATGACTCGGCACACAGGAAAATTGTCTTCAATATCGGCGGGAGGGGATCTCTGAGAGCGAACGACGGTAGTTGCTTCGATGATCACACTCTCCAGCTCCCTTCCCGCCAATTCCGACTTTTATTGTAACATACAAGGAAAACACTGCCCCCGACATTTGCATACCGCACCCCCGGTCCGGCCCCTCGGTGGTGATTGGTTACCTGTTTTTTAAACTTGAACCACCAGTACGTTGGCGCCTTTTCTGTCTGGTCTACATCGAATTAACATGTTGCAGACTTTGCGGACGACAAATGTTGCCTGGGCGCGACGGGTGTTCTCAACTCGTCTTTTGTTGTTCAACCGCTGTTCCCAAATTATTCATTCCCCTTTTGTGACCGAGTTTCGCCCCCTCCCCTGTGATTGCCCACCTGCATTGACGTGCTAATTGTGGACTTCAACAGCCCTCCGGCCAGGTGGCCAGCGCCTTTGTGCACAGGCATTTGGAGGTGCTGGATACGCACCCAAACGTTTAGATGTGTCCAAATTAAATGAAACTTTAAACATGATACAATTTTGCTCATAAATTCCTCTAACAGACTAACACTCCAAAGTGTCTGAAAAATACAGTATATTTATGTGAAAGTGTTGCCTGGTAGTAGTCTAACCTTGTGAGCTCAGGGACACAGGCGTGGCTTTTTCCCAGATTATGTAACGATGCAAGGTTGCATTATAAGTGGCAATCAATAGATGCACACTGTGCACTAAAACCTTTTTGTGATGAACTTATATGTGTGTGGATTATGAAACATTCCATCACTCACCCTACTTTTGTATGTGTCACTGTGCAGGGGTGTGGGCTGCATCTTTTATGAAATGATAACAGGCAGGCCACTGTTCCCCGGATCCACTGTGGAGGACGAACTTCACCTCATATTCCGCATCCTCGGTGAGACTTTAGAAGGGGATTCCAGTGCAGGGAAATGTTCATTTTGTTTTCCTCATACCTCCATGCTTGATAAGTGTATGGCTTATCTTTCTGTTCCTAACTAAATGCATTTTATGCTCCTGTTGACTTTGTGTTGACTTGTAGCCGATTAATAAACGAAGGTCTCAATTTGCCCAGGCACCCCGACAGAGGAGACCTGGCCTGGTATCAGCACCAGTGAAGAGTTTAAGACGCATAATTTCCCCAAATACAACGCAGAGCCGCTTGTGAACCATGCTCCCAGGTATGTGTGCCTTCTCACAAGCAGAGGAATCCCAAAACGAATGTACAGTATAATACCACCAACAACATGCAATTAAGTAGTATCACTACCAAATAAAATCCACACTCCACAGTCCTCAGCCCAGTGATGCATTTGGCCCGGTACACACGTAGGGATTTTTTTTATATCTTAACAGACTGTTTATCTGTTTCAGACCCCACACATTCCGACACACAAATCGTTTTGGTCGTAAATATTGAACATGTTTGGTATTTAAGATTGTCGGCATGGCCCATTTTATCAGGACAAATGGACACTTATCAGGGGTGCCCAACCTTTTTTGACCGGAGATCTACTTTTGAAGCAACCAAGTTCCCATGATCGATCCGTTAACGCACATCCACGCATATGTACACGCTCGCAACCATGCACGTGCGCATACACACTCACGCACGCCATGATAGGCAACAGATATAATGGCCCCGAATATGAACGAAACAGAAAAATAAAGTAGATACAATAGTTTGTTAATTTGTGAAAAGGAAATCACTGTCTACCTTAGTCGAGACCTGACGCGGAGGCATGGGACGCACTTTTGCAGCGTGTTAAGTGCAGAAACTATTGTACGTACATGTACTGTTTCAAAATGCTTCTCCTGGCACTCCGGATTCCCATTCCCTGCCAGCCCTATCAGTGACTGGTACATGAAACAAACTTTGAATTAGAATAATAATACTAAAAAGGTGACACTTTCAAGGTGCTCTGCTATTTTAATTTAATTTTTTAAATACTTCTTTGTGAAAGTGAAACTGATAGGATGCTTAGTGTGCAGTGTGCGCTAACACACATGTCATATTAATAACAAGCACACAAACACACAAATCTTATTATTATTATTATTTTTTCCCATGTCCCCATACACACCTCGCCATCGACTTGGGACTAGTCCGCGGGCTGCCGGTCAATTGCGATCGACGTGTTGGGCACCCCTGCTTAACATACTCAAACCACAAGATAAGCGTATGGGATAATCTGATAAAATAGTCTGCCCTTTGATATCTTTGGTGGGGAAGGGGCAAATTGAAGACAAAAGCTGACCAGGCACGAGTCGACAGAGTAATAACGTGCGTGCGGGAATGAGCATAGGCCGAAGCGTGTTTCAGTACCCGTTTTAGCTTCACCAGCTGACCGCTGCGTTTGTCGCCACGGCCTTTCCATGAAGGGTGCGCGTGAACGCTTAAGAGGTCAACCGGTATGTCTGCCAGAAGAACCTCAAAAATACTGTCCTTTTTAAGATTCAAAGGCTCTTTTTTTATTGAGACTGTCACAGATAGACACCAATTTAACAATATTATCGTGATTGTGCAATGTCATATGTCACAACTGTATTACAGTAAAATGTGAGAAGGCCATAATATTAGAAACTCTCTGTTCCCATCAAAATAATAATAAAGTAATGAGTGATAATAAATAATATAAAGTGAAAGAATTGCTATAGTTCCATGAAGTGTCCAGTGAGTCAAGTTCATCCACAGCATTAATGCGCCACGGAATAAGACTTTGACCTCAGTGACCCCTCCGCTCTGTTCTTTTGCTGGCATGCAGGATAGACAACGATGGTCATGACTTGCTCTCGGTGCTTCTGCAGGTAATCAAAATACTTTCTGTACAAGTGATTACGGTTCAGAAAAATACACCTATAAACTGTGAGCCTTAAACCTCTCATCTGTCTCTGTGTGATTCTAGTTTGAGGCAAAAAAGCGCGTGTCGGCCGAGGATGCCCTCCGACACGCGTATTTCCGAACTCTTGGCGAGCAGGTTCAAACCCTGGCTGACAGTGAGTCAACCCCTGCTACCAAGTCCTGCTTTAACTTGCACAAATGACGCCAGCTCACCTCCTGCCGTTTGTTTTCAGCTGCCTCGATCTTCTCCATAAAAGGCATTCAGCTCCAGAAAGACCCAGGGAAGAGATCTTCAGCCTGCCAGGAGTCAAGTAAGTCTCTTGAGATGGCGAACTAGAAGAGAAAGACAAACAGTGAGGATATCTTAGTGGGAACAGGACAAGAACAGGCCTCCTCTCTCTTTTTCACTCTCTTCCTCTTTGCTTTATGTTGTCTTTCATGCTGCTGTGTGGCCATACTTGCCAAGCACAATGTTCTAGTCTTACATCACGTTCATTTTTCCTAATCTATGCTATAAACAGCAGCTCCTGTAAGACATGCCTGAGATGTTGCGCTTTAGTTTGAAGTTACTACCCATTGGCTGAGAAACGGGCAAATAATCAGAAAAGAAGCTGACCGTTTCTTCTAGTTGGCCTTTTCAACCTCGATTGTATTCCCAAATGGCCGCTCTCCAAGAATAATGGTGCCTTCTGATACTACTTGTGTTGGGCTATTACATTTGTAGATTGACTATAAATGACTATAAGTTTGTAAATAAATCTAATTTGTGGCTGAGGTTGAATCGGATTGACCGCAGCGCTACATCAAGAACTGTAACCCAGAAAACGCACACAAGCAAAGCAACGAATTCACACTGCGTGTATACGTGTGTGTGTGTTTGTTTATCTCTTTCTGTCTCTGCCGTCTTGTCCTTAAAAACTGCCCCCTTGCTTTGTCTCTGCACCCATTCCCTTCTCTATCGCAATGTTCATCTTTTTCCTGAATATTTTCTGTCTCCCTTGTGCTCCCCACTCCACATACTTCTTTATGCCCGACTCGTCACCCTAAAAAGCCATGGCCCATAAGCTAGGCTCCGCACCCTCGCAGTACTTCCAGAGAGAAGCAGCCAATCCCAGGCCTCAGAGTCACAATCTCTCCTCCACTTCCACTGGCTGAGTGGCCGCTACCATTCTGGTAAATACGGTCTCTTTCACACTGTCTCTATCATGTTTCCTTTTCTTTCCATTTGACGTGTCACTTTGCCGCTTTTCCCCTCCCCATGCTCTTTGTTTGCCACATTTTGTCTGTATGTGTGTCCTAGTTAATGAGCCAAATAACCTCTCATCCCTCCTCGGAGGAGGCGCTCATGTACTGCTCATGCTTGTCTTTTCTTTCCCCTTTCTGGCTCCTCACATTGCACGTCCTGCTCCCGCATCTCAACTTTCACTTTGACCGTTATCTTCTTGTTCGAAGAGAAAACCTGCTCCCAGCCTTTCTGTCAGGACTGAAAGACACAGCAGTGTATGGGTAAAAGGAAGGAATCTGATGGGGAGTCATTTGATTCTTTTTATGTGTAGTCCTCTTTAGGTTTCTCCAGTGAGAGAGGTAGTCTTTTTGTTGAGCCTGTAGGTAAGGGCCTGAAGTGGTGTGTCTTCTTAATTCGAAGCATGGTTATAGTGTGGCTTTTGTTGCGGTGTTTGACATGATGCCGGTAAGTATATTTACATGGAGTTTTCTGTATTGGGACAATATAGACAGTACAACTACTACTATTCATATGTATTTTTTAGATAATTATTACAGTTTTGTAATACAAGACATTGTTCGCCATTGGTTTGCTCCGATATTTGCTTTTATGTGAATTCTTACATGTTTTCATCTTTTTTTTTAAATTCCCCAACATGAAAATCGATGTATTTTCCAAAGCTTATCAGCACTTAACATTTCGCACCATTGAAGATGACGAAATAAGTGTGAAAGAAAACCCAGGATGAAGCTGTCTCTCAAACTGACAAATTTGCCTGTGGGTCTCATATCCCAAAATGGTAGCTAATCCCCCACATTAATCCCTGCAGCCAAAATTTTACTGAGAACTTTCAAATGTAGTCGAGGCAGTTCTGGTAACCGAGAAATGATGTGGGAATAAAATGTGCTTGATCACATACTGGTCTAATCTTTCCATGTCTGGTACTTGTATTTCCCGTGATGGTCTTGGTGTGACAGCTGCTTGTTTGCCCAACATGTTTGTCTGTGTCTGTCTCTCAGCTCAGGGGAAGGGCAGACGGCAGAGTGTGTTGTTCTAGTGTGTCGGATGGCCCCAGAAGTGAGGAGATCTACGACCGGAGGAGCAGTGCTATCAGACACAAACATTCTGTGACCACACCACGCGCATTGAAGGAGCGACACACTCTCACTCAAAGACGAAAAATGATTCCCATGTCCACATAGAAACATGAACAGATCTGGGACTAAAGAATCCATACGCGACAGACATTCAGATTCACGTTAACCCCCGAAGACAGAAAAAGGACTCTTCAAAATGCGTGTGATCACAAAAGTGGAAAGTGGGAGAGTTGGTGATTCTCCCTGCTGCTATTACCGCTGCTCTCCAGTTGAGGGCAGTGTTGAGGTGGGCCAGAACAGAACTTGAACTGTGAAGAAGGCGCAGGTGTGACAGTGGGCCTGTTTCAAAAATGAACTTTCTTACTACACTAAAGTCTCATCCCACTCTTCTGGACTGTTGCTGTACATAAACAGACTGCGCTGTTCTCTATTGTCATGAAATGCCTCAGCCTCAATCCAAACTCAAAATATTGCACCTCCCCTTGGCCCTTAATTATATGATCACACACACACACACACACACACACATACAAACTAGCTTGAACTCGCTAGCTCCATGCTTCTTACTTTTCTGCACACACGCTTTTGTTTCACTTGAAAGTCCGAAGTGTATATCAGCGTGGGTTGACACAGATTACATTTTTAGCACCTTACTGTCCACTATAGGTCAGGGACACTGTCAAATACTGTACCTCATCTCTCAGAGTTGGGTTATAAGTATGCATCAGAAAGTAGAGTGATGATAACTCTAAATGATGAACCAAAAAAAAAAAAAATCTGATCATTGAAAATATTAGGTCACTATAATCTTGGACACCGTAAAGCTCCAGTCAATACCTTGTAAGGACAATGAGTAAAAGAAAGTGTACAAGTCCTCACCTGCTTATCCTTAGATGCCCCCTTTGCCTTGACTCACAATTTATTGTGTGTGATTTTACCGGCGTTGTTGTGGAACTGTTCTTTGCACCTAATTTTACCTCTGGATCACCAGTTGATGATTCAACAGCCCCATTCCTCTCCAAGACCAGCTCCAAGTGCAGTGTCTATTTTTACACTTGATTTTATTCCTATTTGTATATAAGATCTTAGTTTGTACTTCTCAGAAGCAATGGTATTTCCAACAAATGGTATTTCTCAGTCTTTGCTGTGCTCCCGCTGTAATAGTTGGCGACTGGCTGGGAACGTGTTGCACATTCCTTGAGCTCAGGACTTAATTGCTTCTGTCATTCTGTGGGTGCTGCAAGGTGGAGGCTGAAGCTCCATGAATCCCCTTTAGAGCAGAATATGTTGCCCTGAAATCCCCTTGTAAGGCTTAAGAAGTATCTTTCCACATTGATGTGCCAGTTCTTTGTGTTCCTCGTTTTGTTTTTTAGACTCCGATGAGACTATCAAGTGTACGTATAGTCAAAACCATCTTAAAGCATGCTTGTGTATTGCGCACGCTCATGTTTCCAGGTGGTATGTGAAATTGCTGGAGAAGATATGTCACCAGATGAGTCCAATGTTTGCATGGCACGTGAGCTAATAATCATCACATGAGCATTGACCCCAACGATATCAATGAAAATAGGATTCAATAACAATGTGATGCCGTGCTTCAGCACCAAATGATAACTTGAGAGCATCAAGTGCAGTAATAGTCTGTTGAAGCAGATCATTTGGTAGTTAGCGGTAGTGATGGGAAAATGAAGCTTCATGAAGCACAGACATTTTTTGACTCCTTTAAAATGTGCTCTTGATTTAAAGACAAAAGGCTCGTGCAATGGAAATTTATTAAACTTCCACTGCATCTTCAAACCAAGAGTGCTAAAATGATCACAAGTGTTTCATGAAGCTTCATTTGTCCATCACGAGTTAGTGGGACTTGAAGCACTCCGACACAATGTTGTTTTGAATTTCTAGCTGCCACAAACCTCCAAGCGCACAACCGTTTCACACACCAGTAAACTTGTGTGTCAACATGTACTGTATCGCTGAGATGGATTATGGCTATTGATTGGAGTGTCGCGGCGTTCTGGCGCTGACCTCGGACCAGAGACTGGCGTGTCGCGGTCTTCTGGCATTGACCTTGGATCAATTCGGAGTGAGAGGCGATCCCAGGTCTGTGCCTAGTCAGGACTACTCCACCTAGTGCGTGGCAGTATGTAGCATGTACATAGATGATCGCTCACTTTGTATATATAGGGAAGTGTTTAGGTTTGATACAGCTATTCACATTCTGCCCTTTTTGTGTTTCTTTAATGAAAGTCATAGCAATATTTCTGTAATCAATAAAAAGCCAAGGTAGGGTGTAATGGGGTGATTGATTATTTAGAGTGGTGACTGAATGATTAAACTGTGAGACTTGACAAAGAAAGCGACAAGGAGGTTCGTTTTTGCTGTGTAACATGCAAACGGGTTTAAAAAAGGTTGGCACTTCTACAGGGTCGCTAAATACACCCAGATTATTTGGGGGTGTTTTTGCAGTGAAAGCCATACTAGTGGTCATAAAGTGATGAAAATCTGGTTGTGCAGAGTGGTTTCCTTGAAGAGAAAAAGAGATGTGTACATCAAGTTCAAAATAAAACTTCTGTTATTACTTTGTGTTCTTGGATATCTTTTGACACCCAAAAATATTTGGCACTCTAATATTGCAAATTATACCTGTGGTCCAAGTTAATAGCACCGTACACAGAGTACACATGATTTCTTTTCGGGAAACATTTTCTCAGGTGAGAAAATGTCTTTTATTATCACAGTAAATTAAAACAATATACAGCTACACTATCCAGGAAAGAGAACATGTACATTCCAGAAAATGCAAGTGACATTGTAGGTAGCCCTGTCACAAAATAAATGACATGAGTGGTGCATCAATGTGAACAACATACAGAATTCACACAGTCTCCATGGTGATTTACAAACGTTTGTTTTTTTGTCGTAAAAGTCTACACACGCCTGTTCAGTTTTCCTGGTATTAAAAAACGACACCCAGGTTAACCATTTTCTAACTTTTTCTACCATGAATGTAACCTAAAATCTGTAGAGTACCTTTGAAGAAAGATGGTAAAAATAAGTCAAATAATACAATACAATACAATACAACAGTACCTCCTGATTTATATCACGCTTTCACAACAGCTGCAGCTGTAACATGTGCACACCTCCTTAAAACTGGGAAGTGGCTGTGTTCAAAGTTAACCACTCACATTTAAATTTATGTTAAATCTGAGTCAGCACACACCCGCCACCATTTAAAGTGCCATTGGTTTACCTCAATTAAATTTCAGCTGTTCTAGTAGGCTTTTTGCTGACTTTTTATTGTTGTGATTGTTGCTGTGATTGTTGCTTGATTCTGCCAGCAACACAACTTCACAATGTGCATGATGTCCTTTTAGTGATGAAGGGCAGTGTTGCATTTGCGTCCTTACCTTTTGGAATTAGGGCCAAAAAGTTTGGGCTTGATTTCATCAGACCATGAGGCACTTTACCACACTTTTGATCGATTTTGTTATCACCTGTTGAAAGGATTTATCATTGTTTCTTTTTCTTTTTTTTTTTTTATGTCTCAAAAACCTGCCATTTGAACAGGGGTATGTAAACTTTTATTTCAGGATTTTTCTCTGCAGCCAATTTTCCTGGCCAGAAAGAAAATAGGTTACCATAATTCAGTGCAGCTGTGCATCACTGCAAATAACAACAATAAACATCCATCCATCCATTTTCTGAACCGCTTTATCCTCACGAGGGTTTGCAGGCGTGCTGGAGCATTTCCCAGCTTTTTTCAGGAAGTAGGCGGGGTACACCCTGAACTGGTTGCCAGCCAATCGCTGGGCACACATAGACGAACAGCCATTCACACTCACAATCACACATGGGGACAATTTAGAGTGTTCCGTTTACCTGCCATGCATGTTTTGGAAATTTGGGAAGACCCGAAGAAGATGCAAGGGAGAACATGCAAACTCGGCGCAGGAAGGCCGGAGCTAGAATCGAACCCTACACCTCTGCACTGTGAGGCCGATGTGCTAAGCAGTTACCCACCGTGCCACCCCAACAATAAACACTTGTAATATTACTCCTCTTTTAGAGTGAAAATTGAACGTATACCAAATGTTACGTCTGGTGAGTGTATAATTAATTTCAGAGATCCATTTGGTTATTGTGAGCACAAGCAACTGTTGTCTCGACCTCAGATGTCTCTGCTTCTGAGGCCCAGGGGTTCCATCCACACAGGATCGTTGGAACAGCATATATTCGGAACTGGAAAAAGACAGTCAATCACACACATTCATATTTAAATTATTTTGTATTGTCGGGAATGTGATGCTGATGCTTTACCTGTCGGTTCATGAAAACGTAAATGATGGGGTTGTAAACAATGCTGCTTTTTGCAAAGTAGACTGGTATAGTTGCAATTAGAGGATCAATTTTTAGCGTGGAATCTATCATGACTGCCAGGGCCATGCTGGCATACGGCAGCCAGGTCACCAGAAAGGCCAGCACCATGATGACAACCATACGGGCCACTTGCACTTCCATACGGTGTGTGCTGCTAGTCTCAGACACCTGCAGCTTGGTCACCTGGGTCATACAGACACGTGATCAGATCAGAACACTTAACAAAAAGCAACATTCTCCATGTCTCACCTGCCGAAGGGTCCAGAGGAGCCGCAGGTATGACACCATAATGATGGAAAAGGGCACAGCAAAGCAGAGTGAAAAGTAAATGATCATATATGACATGTTGCCGGCATCCCGACTGTACCAGTTAGGGGCGCAGGAGGTTTTGATGCCCTCCAGCTCAAAACTCCCCCAACCAAACAAGGGTGGAGTGTTCCATACAAAGGACCATACCCAAGACAGCACCACGCCAGCAATTGCATGCCTAGGAAGAAGCAGTCACGATTGAGCACTCACTGATTCAGCTGCTTTATTTTGAAAGAATAACGATGCTTACCTGGTTTGGAAGAGGGCAGCACCCATAGGATAGCACACCACTATGTAGCGCTCCACAGAAATGACTCCTATCGTACACAGACTTGCTATACCTGTCAGAGGAAGGAGGAATAAAGTACGCCAAATTAGAACACATTCGGTTGATTGTCATCTCATTGTGTCGATAGCCATTAAACATCAAATCCAAAGAAATAAGATAAGCATAACTTTCCTTTTCAATACTCATTAAAGAAAGATGGTTATTATGTATGCGGAGAAGTTTTGAGGGTAAACAAAATAATTCACAAGCCCATCAAGTTAACATGTACTGTATAACTGTCGTGAATCTACGATGACATACTAAATGTGAATATTTATCGGTGTGTCTATGACTGGCATTAAACATGAAAAAGAAATGAGGGAAAAAAAAAGACAAGCTAGCCCAATTTTCTCTTACAGGGACGCCTCTCCCCAGACACAGCACTCCACTTGAAAAGACTCACCAAAAAAGGCCACAGCAAAGCCTTCTAAAATGCATCCCATTCGTCCAAGGCTGAAGTATCCCATGGCGGTGGTCACTGTGGTGGGCAGCCCTCCAAACACAGCACAGCCCAGGTCACATACAGCCAGGCTGACTAGAGCATAGCTGAGTGGCTGCCTCAGCTGTTTGTGTCTCACTGTCACCACAATCACCAGGATGTTGAGAATGATCCCCAAAATCGAAAAGACACCCATGATCACGGCCAATCTGGTGTAGCCAGCCCGAGAGAGGATCTCTGGGTCGGCCATGCTTCAAGAGAAAGACGAGTTTCGCAAGGTGATCTTTTTTTATAATTTAGATGAATCGTGCTCAAGCTGGGAGAGTTATAGTTGCTTTGTTAAAATGCTCGATATTAGCAGCTCTTTGCCGACTGAAAAACTCTCTGACCAAGTTCAAAATGTCCAAAGGTCAAAACAGCAACTTTTCATAAAAATAAGTACGGTGAACATTATTCAAAATTCAGCATCCAACCGTATGACCAAAAAAAAAAAAAAAAGGCATGCTTAAAAATGACAAATTGCTTTTCTACCGCAGTACAAACCGCACAGAAGAAGCGACTCTCGAAATGAGCTTATAGAAAGCAGATCTAGTTCATGATATGTCGTTCCTTCCCACCAAATCCTGAGATCCGGATTGTGAGGACAATAATTCTGCCTAATATCCGCTAAGACTGCACTTTCCATGATTGTGTGTGTGTGTGTGTGTGTGTGTGTGTGTGTGTGTGTGTGTGTGTGTGTGTGTGTGTTAGCAGGGTCACACAGGTGCGGTGGAAACACAAGATTTTAGATCAGTGTTTCCCAACCTTAATTGAGCGAAGGCACCCATTGAAAAAAAAAAAGAAAAAAACTCACGGTCCACCACCAAACAAAAATGGCACAAAAGTTATGAATCCTAAAATAATGATCATCTAGTCTCAATTTACTGATGCATTGAGTTAGTAAGTGTGACATTGAGTGTGATGTGCGATGGATGAATCCCAAAGATTTTAATATGAATTGTCTGACATTGGTGGAAACGAATAGATTTTTTTTTCAATGCTTAGCTGATGACAAAACATTGATCTTTTCCAAATTGACTTGCATCCCAATAGAAATTTGCTTCCACTCTAGGACCCAAGCTTACAAAAATATAAAATGCACTGACAGAACTTTGACATACAGATACACATTAATAAATATACTGTGATGTGTTTAACATTAACATAACTGACTTTTAATTTTTATTATCAAGATGAATCAAATTAAAAGGTACAGACTTTTAACAAAACAACAACTACTTTTGTCATTAATTAGACAATTACAGTGGTAGGAAGTAATACAGTAGATTCTTCCGGGAACTTTGCTTGAGTGTTGATTTTTTTAGACGTTTTACTTTTACTCCCAAGATTTGAGGACAGATGCCAACACGTTCTATTCATTACTTAGCCTTATTAATTTTGGATCACAATTTAAAAAGAAGTAAATAAAGAGAGGTAAAATGAACCGGTTGGGATTTTGGTTGACTGAGGATATTGGGAAATTATATGGCGGCTGTGATTTCCTACATGAGAGAAAAAAAAAGAAGAACGAAATAATTCATGGTGAGTGCGCTGTGCTGTGTCTTGCCCAGACTACAAAACGCCAGCTTCTGCGTTCGAAAATATTCCTCGAATGTGGAAAAAGATATACATGCAGGTAAGGTGTATTTATTTCAGTTGTTATCATGATCTAATTTAGCATTTCTTTTGTTTGTCAGTTCACAACATGAGCAAAGCAATGGGAAAAAATAGTTATGGTAGCATAAAAGCCTGATCAGTGGCGGTTCTGGGGGGGGGCCAACGGGGGCCAGTGCCCCTGTAGCACTGATTCTGGCCCCCCCTGTGGCC